ACATAACTAAGAATATATCAATAAACAACAAATTGCAATTTCTCACCTCGCTAACTAAGTAATTTATCAAACAGTTAGCGGCCAAAAGGGCAAACAACAACACCTACTAAAGAAAAACCAAAAGAGCTACATCTAAATCCAAATCCAAACAAAAGCAAGCAGCTAAAACCATCAAACATGCAAACTAAACTATTCAAAAGCTCCGAAATATTAAAAATGATTGCCACTAAGAAAGGAAGCAGAAAGAAACACATAAAACAAGCTTAAAATAAGACTAATCAAATAAAGTTGAAAGCCAGAGTTATGAACCTACACTTATCATCCATATCAGATTGATTGAGCATGGAAAGAACAAAACAAAGTATAGCGGTCAAATGCAATGGAGAGATAAACTAATGGGTAAAAGTTGAAATATTGAAAAGATTTGTGCTTTACTTGATCCAAAGATCAGAATTAACAAACACTGGGTGAGCGACAGAGAGAGAGACTGGAGAGGCTAGTTCTGAACTTTGGGGAGTGATGATAATATAGATACGAGTCTACAATTAGATGATTGAAAATGTCCACTTGTTTTCCGCCACGTTTCGGGTGCCCGTAATAGTTCAGAATGACCAAATTAAAATATCCATTCTGGTTCGGGTTTGAGTCGACTTTTATACACATGATATTATTATGCACACAATTGGGGTTTGAAAATTAAATTGAAATATCTTATTTTTGAACTCTCCAAATTGAATTATTTCGAAATTTGAATAAATTAAATTTGATAGAACTCTTGTTGGATTATATTAATTTGAGAAATACTAAATATAGACGCTTGTTTAAAAAATAAATTATTCTAAAATTGATATGAAGAGAGTGTTATAAGATTTTTAAAGGAGCAACTATAACTAGCATTTATGAATTAATCTTATAAAAATTATTATCATATTCTACATTTTATTTTTTTCATTTATTTTTTTTTTTTTTTGTCATTAAAATTGATCACATTATAATATCATTTCAAACTCCTTAGATAAGCAAAAAACAATCTAGTTAAATGAAATATCTTAATGACTAAAGAAAAAGAAAACAAAGGCGATTCGAGCGAATAGGAACAATCTAAATCGATTTTTATTTTAAATTATCTTGTATCTAGAAATTTATGCAAATTTATTATTATTATTCGTCGGTGGTGTTGAAAACAAAAACTTGACTTATACGTTGAAATGAAGTTTTGATAAATGTATATTTTTTTACCTTTGTTTAAACCTTACAAAGTATCATAAACACATGCTTGTATTTGTGTAGTCCTCTTAGTCGAATACATGTGGTAAATATTTAAACATGTTTGAATACGGATACTTAAATAGATATTTAAACAGGTTTAGAACTGATATGGATAGTAAAATTTTAAACGAATACCTAAATAAGTACTTTTAAAATTCGTGGGTACCCATCCCGCTTTCGTTGTATTAAGGGGTGTATTGAATTAAGAGTCTCTTAAATTTTAAAATATTTTTGAAATCTTTGGATAGGATTATAGATTTGGAAATGACTCTTTTATTTATAGCTAACATTCTAAAATCCAACGAAATCAATAATTTTATAAAATCTTCCCAAATCAACAATATTTTGAATATATCAAATTTGTACGAACTTTTAAAAAGTCATAATTGAATACCATTAAATTTTTTTTAGATTTTATAAGAGTTTAAATTGAATACCACAAAATTTTAATAAACTTAAAAAAAATACAGATTGAATACCATTAGAATTTTAAAATCCAACGGAGTCTTAATCCAATACCCCATCCTAAATTTATATCTAATTGAGGATCATTCCATTAATTTTTTTTCTTTTTTATTATTTTATTTTCCCAAAGCATTTGGAAAGAATTTTCAAGTTATATTCTTTAACCATAATTGAAAATACTTTATGGCTGAGATTACAAAACATATGCATCATGTGGTACCAAACTCTCTCTCTCTCTCTCTCTCTCTCTTGTGCCAAGATTGACAAGGCATTTAACTCTGCAAGAAGGTTCTTTCACTTTTTAATTGAAAAGTTGAAAGAATGTCTGATAAGATTGAAGAAAGGGATTTATGAAATGATGGAAAGGATTAGAAAGTTTCTTAGCAATATTTTCAATTCAAGGAAAGAGGTTGGAGATGGCTATCTTGAAACTATTTTACGGTTCATAAATATTCTTCTAGCAGCTTTTGAGCTATGCAGTTTATTGAAGAGTTCTTAGTTTTTACTGATGTTTCTTTGTCTGTTAATGGGGCTAAGGTTTTGAGTGTTGAGCTATAAGACAACTGTAGAATGTCTGACTCTATTTGTGTAATGTTTGGTAGACGAGAAAGTGATTGAAAAACGAAAGAAACTATAAGAGAGAGAAGGAAAAGAGATGTAGATGGTAAAACATAATTTTGTTTTCCCAAGCTATTCTGTCTAATCCTTTTGATGCAATATATTTACTTTAATATATCTTTCATGTTTCATATCTTGGATGTAAATTCTATTTGTATAATGTTTGGTACATGAGAAAGTGATAGAAAAAGGAAAGAAATTATAAACAGTAGACGTTCATATTTATTTCCTTCTTACTTCTCTTCCTCTCAACCATACATAGCCCAAGACGTAAACATCAACAAATGCAAGCATAGATACAGAGAAATCCCAGGAAATTTCTATACAAATGAAGTTTAATGTAACAGTTTCTCATTTAATAAATTAGCTTTAAACTTGTCTTACAAAGCTAGCTACATAATACAAATCAATGTAGTGGGTTGATATTGAATTTTTGATCTCCCGATTTCCGCAAGTGCTTAAACCTGTAAAAGCAAGAAACACGAAGAATTTGTCAATATACTAATTTCAACAAAATTTTCATAAGGATGGGATAAACATAAGGTGTAATTGCCATATAAGGTATAACAGAACCACCAATATTCTGTTAGAGACATGCTGGCTTTGCTAGTGAAGCCTGTACATTGGAAAGCTAGAGCTTTCCCTTTGGCGCACTAATTTGCACTAGTCTCTCAAAATCCTTTTGTTTCTTTCACAAACACACCATAATAGTGAAAGTAGAGGACAGGACAAAGCAATAACAGCAACATCAAACCAATTCCTAGAGATCACTCAAGTCATGTTCTTTAGAAATATTTGATTGCCTTATGATTCAAAAGCATTCGAGAACAAGCAAGACGTAGTTTACCGGATTTTCTTGGCTTGGGTCACTAGTTTCCGAAAATCCAACTGTGAGTTGTCGTTCTGTGTGTTTTTTCTTATCTTTTTCATTACATTTGTTGTATGTACTGCACAGCAATTTGGTTATCTATCTAACCTCTCAAAACAAAAAAATAAAAAAAGCTTGTGACCTTAAATGAGCTTCAGGGGCTAACTAAATGGGGAAATGGATAACTAAGACCTATAATCATACAGGACTTGTATTCTATTTAATATTTGAACTTTTAAAAGGTTGTTCACACCTAAAAAGACATTCAATATAGCAACTGATTAACCTTCATTCCTATTCCTAACTGAAAGCTTAGGATAATAGCCCATGATTGGATGACACTTAAAAAATACTGATTTTTCATATACTTTTGTGCTCAATATACTACATGCACATGTTTATTTTACAGGATTTATTTTTTAACAAGTACTTCTAATTAATGACACCTTTCAAAAAGTAGGCAACCACTTCACATTATGTTTAATTGTTTTTTCAAAAATAGTGAATTCATCAGATATCTTATTTCTAGCAACATGCAAAAGGGCATACCTTAGATTTGCTCGGTTGAGGCACTATTCTCTCACACTTTTCACACCGACTCTTTCTCTCTCCAAATTGCATGCACTTCATCAGTTCGGAATCTCTGGGTGAAAGTGGATTCCTCTAGAGGTGTTGTCGTACCATGAGCAAAAGCTATGAGACCAGTATATGCAATCATTGCTCCGTTATCAATGCAATACCTATCATCAGTTGCATACAGAGTTCCACCCCGCTCAGAGCACATTATTTTCATCATTTCTTGCAACCGCTCATTGCATCCAACACCACCAACAATAAGAATGTCTTTCTTGTCGCAATGTGCCATTGCTCGTTCTGTGATCTCCACAAGCATAGCAAACACTGTTTCCTGCAGGATATCATATTTTAAACACATTCAATACATCATGAAAAGTTATATACGCTGCCTCAGTTTTATCTTATATAGCTTATAATTTTAGCATAATAAAAATCATCCATAATTAACACCATATGTTTGCCTCTAAGACATGCAGGCAATAAAAATAATTTACCTGTAGAGAGTAGCACAAATCTGCAGGAGTACATTCATTATTTTTAAGCTTCTCCTCTGCAGTAGCTTCAATAAAACTTAATATTCCGCTAAAAGAAACATCCATCCCTTTGACAACATAAGGAAGGTCTATAAATTGTTCCCCTTTCTTAGCAAGCTGGTTAAGAAGAATACCAAGCAAATGAACATGGAAGCACTTCACAATGTAATTCAAGTTAAGCTGGCACAGCAGGAATAGTCATAGAATATACTTTATGTCTAATCAAGCGATTGCCTAAAACACATTACCAAATCCTACTACTGAACTAGAGATTCAATAAAGCCTTTGATTTCTTTAAGAAGACATAAAATTCATTGATACAGTGAAAAGAATGATTTATGGAAATAAGGAAAATTGATAAAACCCAGAAGAAAGTGATGAAACAGCTGAATTAATTGTTTTTAAAACACAAAAAGGAATTCCATTCTCATCAACAGCCTCTTATAATTCTTAAATCACTTCAAATATAGGGTAACACATGTTTGGTTAAACAACCGCCAGTCAACCATGTTTGATAAAATACATCCAACTTCAAATAATACCTGCTCAATATTATATCCAGGGGCTGGGTCATTAGAGAGCTGCAAAACCCTAGCAAACCTATCCAAGCAATTCCCAACAGCAATATCAATAGTTTCACCAAAGATTCGATACCGCCCTTCACTATAAGCAATAACCTGAGTATTCCCACCACTAACATACAAGACAACAGGGTCAACTGCTCCAGTAACAATCCTACCCATCTCAATATGAGCAACACAATGATTGACAGCAACAATGGGTTTTTTCCACAGCTGTGAAAGAACCCTAACAACAATAGCAGAAACCTGCAGTGGTGCTCCCATGCCAGGGCCTTTTGTATAACAAATACAATCGATTTCATCAGGGGTTATTTGGGCAGTCTCTAAAGCAGATTTAACCAACGGAAGGACATGTTGTAGATGATGCTGTGCGGTTTCACGTGGTAAAAATCCTTGCCCAGGAGGTGTAATGTAAGTGTGACGAGGGTTTGATAAAATTGTACCATCTAAAGTCACAACTCCAACCCCAATCTTGTTAGCCGAACCCTCAAACCCTAAAGCTATCATCTTCTTCATCTTTCCAAACAACAGTAATAACTGCAAACAAAAAGGAAATACATAATTCACTATAATGCGAAAGTAAAAGAGAACAAAAAGGAACATATGTTCCCCAAGACAAAACTTTTAAGTGTTTCCAATAAAACCCAGAAAGGTGAAAGAATGAAATTAGAAATTAACTATAAAATGTGAAATTTAAAAATAAAGCCAAAGACACTTGTTTCCAACGTGAAAACACTAAACCTAGAAAGGAAAAGAAAAGAAAAAGGAGAGGAATTAACATCAACCACAGTTACGGGAGAAGAATGTAAGTTGCAAGACCATACCTAATCCTCTTCAAAGAAAAAAAATGGCCTTTGTTAAAGAACCAGAATGAAGGCTCAATCTCTGCCTTGTGTAGGAGGGTTTTGGGTGGCTGCACCTGCCCGGGCATATAAAATCTGAACTGAATTGCCATCTCGGGTCGGGTCTCAATTAAATAGGTTTTAGTCCTAACTCCTAAACGATGTCGTATATTAGACAGATTTGGGAGGGAGACGGGGGTTTCTTTGATCTTTGGCTAAAACACCCGTCTTGATTTTCACTTGAATCGCTTCCCTTTCACGATCACCACTTCACAGCCAATGCTACAGTTTCAATATTGGGTTTGAATTCTAACTAAGTCCTTTTTTTTTTTGTTGGTTCTTACTCATACTGGAATGGCAGGAGCTCTGTTTCGTTGCCTGAGAAGGGCTTCTTTACTTGTCAAGCCATCATCATCTCTCAATCCCTTCACTTTCAGGTTTCTCTGTTTTTTCTTTTTTTTCCTCTCTAAACGTATTCAGATTCATGTTTTTATTGAATTCCCAGTTGTTTTATAGCTTCTAACTTCAAGGAAAAAAATGACTATTAAATGTTGGGAAATTTTTTTTCTTTTCCCTTTTGGCCTAAAAGGCCAATTTTTGATTACGCAGAATCAGTTTTCTCACAATCAAGAGTCATTAGTCAATTAAATCTACCAAACCCATCATTGGTACTTCGAAATTTGAGCCATGGTAATGTAAACCTAGTGATATCAGAGGGGAAACCTAAGTTTGAAATTCATGAGGTTGATCCTCCAAAGAAGGAGAAGTGGCAGACAAAGAAGAGGCTGAAAATGCAGAGAAAGAGAGAGAAGCAGAAACGAAAAGATGCTAATAAGAGGGATCCACGCAGACTCACTGTCAAGAGGAAGAAGAAGCAGAAATTTGCAAATGCAGAAGAAAGAATTAAGTTCAAGCTTGAAAGGGTGTGTTTATTTCTGACTGATTTTTTTTTCCTTAAATCTGTTTGATATTGAATTTCAACGCTGTTTTAAAACTTGACTACATAGCCCTTTTTATCAATGCTCTAAAATATTTTTTCAAAGGTCATGAATGAAATTTCTCGAAGCATTTTTCTTTGCTGTGATAGTAGTTCTTCTCTTTTCCTTGATGACTGTGGAATTTTATGCAGCTTAAAGCTACCTGACTTGGAAGTTATTTTCATATTGTTTGTTGTTAAAGAAGGTTAATTTTTTGTTAAAGTTCCAAACTTTCACTGTCACTTCTAGTTTTCAATTGATTAATCAACTTCCAATACTCTTCTATCTTTTGCAAGTTGAGGAGCTCTTTCTCTAGTGATTTATACTCTCTCCTACGTTTTAAGTCAATTTTTATTACTTATTGATTAGAAGCTGGATTAAATGATGTAGAAATCGAGAAAGATGAGTTTTATGTTTTAAGGAATTAAAGAAAACTGTTTCCATAGATTAGACGCCACATGAAAGAAAAAAGTCTGAGTTGGCACTGATTTAGAAGAATTCAATATGAGGAGTTCTTGAAGCTAAAGGAGAAGACTTATGTTTGTGCTGGGGAAATTATTTATCTGCAGAGGTTTTTCTTGAGGAAGTGGTATTGATAACTTTTATTGGAGGTTTGGCTTTAATTGCAATGTGAAAACAAGACAGTTTATTCTAGATTTTTATCAAAACAAGAACAAGCCATTTTGAAAATTTGTTCATCAATAAATTGAAGAATGAACCAAAAGTTTTCTTTCTGTTCTTCGCTACTCCACGTTCTCCAACAAGTTGCTTCATGCTTTCAAATCTTTTTTTTTTCATTTTTTTCAAGAAGATGAATGTGGAGGAGATAGTCTTATGGCATTATAATAATTTTCTGTTTCTCTGTAAAGAACAATATTGGTTGTAAATTCGTTTAGTTAGTATTTCATAAAATATTACTTTTCATGGTATATTTTGCTAGTGTCCTTTTCTTGGATCAAGTAAATGTCTAGCACGAGGCGTATTGGAATTATATAGATTACTAATATGCCAAATCATCTTTGTTGAAGTTACTAGCACGAGTTACTGGTTCAAATCAAATTATTATTATTTGACCAAAACATGGATGGGATATAATTTCTGAAACTTACAATATTTTTTTTTTTTTTTTTTTTCTAAAATTCAATTGTTTTTGGAGATCAATATTCAGTATTCATTACTTTGCTTAAACTTACAGGCCAAAATCAAGGAAGCCGCATTGATTGAAAGACTTAAGCGGTATGAAGTTCCTAAAGTTCAGGGTCCTGAGGTCAAACCACATGATCTTACAGGTGAGGAACGATTTTTTGTGAAAAAGATGGGCCAGAAAAAATCCAATTATGTACCAATTGGCAGAAGAGGAGTATTCGGGGGTGTCATTCTTAATATGCATATGCATTGGAAGAAACATGAGACTGTAAAGGTAATCTGCAAGCATTGCAAACCTGGCCAATTACATGAATATGCCCAGGAAATTGCCAGATTGAGTGGTGGTATCCCCATTCATTTTATTGGGGATGACACTGTTATATTTTATCGAGGGAAGAATTATGTGCAGCCAAAAGTCATGTCACCAATAGATACACTGTCAAAAAAAAGGGTGCGTATCCTGGCTTCCAACATTATTGAACTGTCTAAAAATTTCTTTTTTTCAAGTATTGATAGTGTTCTTGCCATTTCATGTTAGGATGAAAATATCATGAAACTGTAACTTGTTTAACACTGGAAATGTCCTCAAATAAAGGCTTCATTAGTATCCTCATCCTCATTCTCATTCTCATACTAGCAGTTACATGAATATCTCTAGCATCAGTTTCAATATTATTCTGATTCAGTGAACTTTTATTTCAGAACCAAAGTGTTTTGGTACTTTTTGCCTTTTGAAGTTCATACTCTCTAGATTATCACCTCTTTCTCATTCTATGTTCTCTTAAGGGCTAGTCAGGTTAATAATTGCAATAGTATGCTATGTTAGCTTAGTTATTAAAAGTGCAAGCACGCCAAGGCATGGAGGGATCCTAGAGCATAGGCCTAAGGATTAGACAAAAAACTTTCAATCGTGAGGTGCAAAAGGAATAATATTGGACAGACAATTAGAATAAACATCATTCTTTCATGAGACAACTTATTTGTACTGAATACTCCTTTTTATATTCAAGAAGCTTGTGTTCCATAGGATCACTTGTGGAAGTATTAGGGCTAGAAAATAATAGCTGTATCAGGTTTATTAATAGCTGCTGGCCTGCTGCTGCATCAATTTTAGCAAATTAGTCTTGGGTTTCAACCTAAAATTTAAACTCTTTCTTCTCACATTGGATCACACCAGACATAATCAGTTGTTGATTATGGTCCTTTCCTAGATGCAAATGAGGATACCGCCTTACCTGGACACTGCATGCTAATTCTTGACTTTTCAATCCCACAGTTAGTCGTGCTTTCTACAGAAGATTAAAAAGAATTCTGAGAGGAAATACAGTACTTTATCATGATTTCACTGGGGTTGGCTGTATGGATGTTTTTGCTCAGTTCCACCCATTTTACTATTACATCTGCAGAAAGATTTAGAATTGTTGAATCCTTTTTCGCTACTTCCCCCTACATCCTCCTAGTTCTGTCCAACTTTTCCCTTCTTCTAAAACTTAAATATTCTTTTACCTTTCAAATAGAGATCCAGCTAAATTTTGAAGAGGATCATATTCTGAGCGATTAGTTTTCCAGCAATTTCTTTTTTTGGTAGCCAAATATTAATTTAAAGGTGAAAACTAAGTAAACCAATCTATTGTTTACATCAATTTATCGGCATAAATATCTTTATCTGTGTATGGCAAACATGCATCTCCTGCTGTGAGCCTTGGATCTGCCAGTGGAAGTCTGCCATTGTTTACTTGCCAACTAAAATAGTTCTTAAGATGTATCTGCCAAATGTGCTGGGTTTATAGAAGGCATTTGACAGATCTCTCAAATTCTGAGATCAAAGAATACTGATGTAAATCTTATGCTCTTAGCAACCAAACTATCTAAAATAAACCAGAAACCAAATATGCTAATTTGGGCTAATCCTTGTATAACTTTTTCCTTCTAATCATAAAGTTACTTATTCTAATTTTCAACTGCTAGAACACATAATGAACTTAGCTATCAGTAGCAGATAATGAAATATAATATAATGTGATCAAATGCATTTCTAGTGTAAAACATTATAATAGAAATGTATTTGATTACATTAAATTCTCTTCCATTCTGGCTCCCAGAAATATCCTTATATCATGATTAAGATTCACCCGGCCTGGTACAAAGTAAACAGTTCTCTGAGATTTTTAGCTTTCTTCCCTTCCTTTTTGCCTGCCAAATTTGTCGTACAGAGTTGTGGCTTGTATTTCTTTTGATTCCTAGAGAGATGTTCAGAGCCCATTGCACCAGGAATCTAGATTAGTTGATATTGAAGTGACAATATATTCTCTACATTGGAAAGATGTTGCAAAACGTTGAAATGCGTTAAAGAAACAAGAAAGCATTTTACTTATTAAGTTTTTTTCTTGACCTGCCAAAGCAGTTGCATGATTTTATCTGTAACAAAATAGCGCATCTAATTCTCATGTTGCCTTCCTTTTTCAGTTAGGTTTTCTGGTTTCATTATTTAATTATTGTGCTGACATATTGTAGGAAGGTAGAAAGAACATATGCCTATGCAATGGATTCTTTTTGCATATGTTTTGGTAGATTGCTCTTTCTTTTTCGTCTTTTTTTTTTTTTATATGTAAAAGGAGAGAACTTGTCTGTCTGGCCTGTTCTCTCACCATTGATATTGCTCTTCTATCTGTTAATGATGCTGATCATATATTATTTTATTTTTATGATACACCTCTACAAACTTGTCTTGCAGCTAAGAGATTTATCTTTCGTTTCTTTTGCAGGCATTGGAAAAGTCGAAGTACGAGCAGTCACTCGAGTCTGTGAGGCGATTCATAGCTATTGCAGAAAAGGAATTAGAGCTCTACTACAGGCACATTGCACTTTATGGTGATCCAAATAATAGGAATCCCCTTTCCATCTTGAACACTTCAAGTAATGACTTCAAGGAATCTGGGAAACCCAAGAACAAAAACAGTAATTTGTCTTTCTATGGAACTTCTCCAGGTGTTTCAGAGACAGAAGTCGATTCTACCGACGGAGACCTATCAGAAATTGAAGATGATTTCGAAGATGAAGACTTATCTGCAAGTGAATCAGATTCTGTAGGTAGAATAACTGGTTGGAATGATAAGAATAAAATTGACAATGAAAATCAAGATTATCTTAGGAAAATGTATTCTAAACATGATTATTTATCTAATTAATGAAATCTTTTTCCCCTTTTGCTGCCACTAAATAATTGTCAAAGCTGCACAGACTGTACTGTCAAAACGAACAGCCCCGGGCGGGCTCGGTCCCGAAACAGGCCAAGTCAAAAAAAGCCCGTTAAAAAATGAGCTTCTAATCTTCAGACTTGTCTGGTCTGCAGCAGCGGCGCCTGCAGACGAGTTCAGACATAATTTAATAGTAAGTCAGTATATATATAGATGGAGTATAAACCTGTTTGATTAAGTTTTAGTAATAGTCTAAATATATCATGCTCAAGACTAATAAAACTTTATTTGCAAGATTAAGGGCGATCACTGTTAGAGTGATGAGACATTTTTAAGAATAAAAAAAAAACATATAATATAATATTTTATGTGCATTACTTTTGTAAAAAATATAGAGTAAAATGGAAACCGGACCCTCGGTAATCTTTCAGGACTTTGGTTCTGGGTTCTGCAGGCAGCGGCGGCTGCGAGAGCTGATGGATTCTCAGGAGATCAAGCTGAAAGGTCATCCAAATCATAATAACTCGTTAACTAGTGTTAGAATGCTCTCATCCCAATTTGCCTTCAACGCTGCCGGAAAGCGAGTATAATATAGATTGAGTATAAAACCTGGTTGATTTAAGGTTTTTAGTTATAGTCTAAATTATATCATGGCTCAAGACTAATAAAACTTTGCCAAACCAAGCGATTCACTGTAAGATGAGACATCAAGAAAAAAAAACAAAATTAGTACCAAGCTGTACAGTGTTTGAGGCCTAAAAAAAAGGTAAACCCGAGAAATGGCGAAAGCTGACCTGGATGAAGCGGGGTGATTATAGATTAATATAGTGTACTGCCATTGAGTGATAACTCCGAAAATAATCTTCTTGGAACCACTTACATCAAAATGCCATGATCCTAAAATTTGAATCATAAAGTGTGTGATGGGTGGTTATGATGATCCAATTAATTACCTCCTGCATACGATAACTTGTTGTAGGGATTATATAGGGCCAAGAGTAAGTAGGTTAAGTTTGTACTACACTCTCAGGATTTAGGAGATGTGTCTCTTCATTATCACTGACCTGAGTAATGGTCCTTTCTTATTCCAAAGCGGAGTAAAAGTAAAAAGAGAGGAGATAGATATTTAATTAAATATATGGGGATTAAAAATTAACAATTGTTTGAATAGTGATTAATGGTTGTGTGAGAGGCAAATAAAGGATCTTCTGTCCAGCTTCATTCTCCCTTTAAATGGATTGTTCGCCCTTGTCAGGCTTCTAATGTTATGGTCACTTCTCTGGCTAGCAATAGTTTTCTCACAATAGACGAGCCTCAATATAATTTAAACCATCGCAACATATTTCTCTCCAATTGTCGCAAACCAATGGCCAGGCGCAATCCCCCTTGGTCCTGGTTACCCCGCATCAATAGTCGATAACTAAGGGGAACTTTGGGACCTAGCATTTCCTCCTAGCCCTTCTCATTAGGTTTCATTTGGGAATTACTTATTTAGGGCGGCCTCTGTATCACTCACATCGAGAATGACTAAACAAGCTATCAATACAAACACCTGGAATTTTGACTTCAAAGTTTCGAACCCCAAAAAGGACTTTAGGCTTTGTTTGACTTTTGGAGGGGTTTGGAGAAGTGGAGAGGAAAGAAGGCCCACCTACACAGCGAGGAAAGTTGCCTTTATTACCCTGAGTCCTTATTATATAATTAACAACTAATACTTTCTTATTTACTCCTAGCTTCCGAGGGATCTCGGTGAGTATTAGTCACTGAAACTGATAATAGATGTAAGAGATTTCCAACAAAAATTTCCGAGCCTAATCTGATATTTACTCTCATTAAAAGTTCTACCCTTCCACTTTTTCCTTTCTAATCTCCAACAAGCAAATAAAGGCGCAATTCCAAGTGTAGGGGTTTTTTTCCACCCTAGATATGATTAAAGCAATTAGCAATCAAATTGACTCCCGTGCAATAATAACAGTAAGCGTTGGCTAACATCATACCATCCCAATTAATGAGCCCAGAAATCCGTTACTGAAAAGCACTCGTGGCGTTATTAACGGAAATTCAGAATAGTTGATTCAGACAAGTTATTTTATCGGTCCCACGGGTTTCATATAGACAGATTAAATAAACACAGAAGCTCCAGAATATATAATCAAAATAATTCCCATATATCAAATCTAATAGTTCCATATCTTCTCATCAGGCATCCATAAGAATTATAACATCGTTAAAACAAGTGAGAAAAATTTAATATAATTTCTTTTTAATTTTTCAATTTTTAGAGAGGATAAGATGAACCGTAAATAACTCTTCCCTCCAAATTATTTGAAAATATCTTTTGTCAATAAAACTATTAGAAACTACTTTTGGAGGAACTCTAATAGAGGCTATCAAGTTGTGGACATAATAGCCGTGTATTGGTTGTTTTGTAGGGTAAGTTTTTTCTTATTGTTCTTTTTTATTTTTTGTGTGTTATAGTTGTTTTTTTTGTGATTGTTATTAAAAATGGAATATATGAAATGAGAATATATTAAAATAGTAAATTAAAAAAATATGGAAAAAATAGATGTGCAAAGAAGCAGTAATTCATTATAATTAGCTTAAAAAAAGTTTTTGACCCGAGTTATATCTTTAGGTGGTCATTTGAGTATTAAGAAAGAGAGTAGTAATTAATTAAAAGATGGAAAAAGAGGAAACTTAAATATGGAATATTGAGAAATAGGTGTCAGACTGATAATTATCGGCAACTTGTCATGGGTTTGGTAGTTTTGTGTCTCTGTCTCTGTGTCTCTCCTGAAAGGAGCTCCAGTATTTCTCCACGCTGGTTCACTATTCAGCGGCACCCAGCCAACCACTGCACCACGAAGCCGGCCCGGCCACCGCAAAAATAAAAAGGAAATAAAAAAAGGGTGTTTGTTATATATTTTTTGATACAAAAATTCATTCTATGAAGAATGATGTCCCTTTTCAGTTTATAATAATAATAATTCTAATAATATGTAGGAAAAGAAGGTGTGATGAGAGACATACAATTTTCATATATCGTTTTAGAGTAAAGTAAATCTTCGGTTTTTTCTTTCCTATTAGTTTATTATATTGCCCCATAGCATTTTATTTAACGGAATGAAATTTTTTTTTTTTGTATAACTAATCAAGTAACAAGGTTAAACTTAATAATGATTCTAAAGGACCTACAAACATTAATATACAAGCAAGATTCATAATGGACCTAGGAAAATAAACACTAAATGGATCACAAAAAGTGAAAAGCATAAACGAAAGGAAAAGCAAGAGAAAATCTAGCAATCTATCCAACCCGGACGGGGTTGCGCCCCACCTCCTCCCGTCATGCCTGTTGTGCCCAGAAGGGCCATAATGCGTCGATTTGTTCTGCCATGAGCCCTGCAAGCCTTGGCTCATTGCATGACTTTTGCCCTGCTGCATGGTGATGTCACGAACGCCAATCGGATTCATCTTGTGCTTCGAGCGCAAGAACGGGCGACAGACGATGCATAGTTATATACTTGGCCTGGCCTCACACTATAAGTGTATCGGGCATCGGCTGGTACAATTATCCTCTGCAACTACTTTTCTATCGACTCTCCTAATTTTCAGTGAGTTGCCGATGTAGATCCACTATCTCTGGTTTCTTTTAACTCTTCATTGGTAATTGGTCTCCTCAGAATTGAGAACCGTGTTGATCCACCCCTCAGGGAAGGCCTTCGCAGAAGGGGATCTTGTTAATGGACTGAAATATGATTAATTTTAAGAAATTTATCGGCGATATTAATGGATGTCACGATATAGAGAACCTGAGCAAGGTTATCTGGAGTATATTTACGCGTGGAGCGTGTCTCCCTTAGGTAGCCCAATTAATCCAAAGAATAAATCATAGTCTCTTTCCACACCTCGCTGGAAGCCCTAGGATTTTTGAGGGACCTGCCACCGGCTCAGCGGCCTGGACGGCAGGATGCGAACGGGGCCTCTCCGGGGTGTAGGGTGGGTCTTGTTTGGGTGTACTCCTTCCCCTTGGGAGTACTCATTTCAAGATGGGTGTGCGAGAAACGTAATAATAAAATTTAGACCTCTTTTGAGGATATCTAGCGATACATGGTCGATTTTTATATTGACAAAAAAAATCAACCCAAAAATATTCTATTGAAATTAAGCAGATTTCATAATTGTAAATATTAAAAAAGCTGTGCCTTTATAAATTAAAATAGATGCAGAAGTTAAAAAAAAAAGCGAAAAATTTTATTTTGGGTCTTATTTTTATTATGGTTTATTTATTGACCGCGGGGTATGGAAGTTTAATGCTGAACCGATCTTCTGGAGATTGGTTGTAATTAT